ATTTCATTCACTGCAATGCTGCGATTCAGGCCAGTGCACTGCAATAAAACGCAGCATGTCTGCATTTTACCACAGCTTTAGGCTGCATTGCAGTGTGAGTGGAACATGTAGGAAACAATTGTTTCCTGTATGTACCTGTGGTGACAGATGTTTTACCATGCTGTAAAACGTCTGTCACAGCATATAGTGTGATTTGATCCTTGTGACTTAATCTGAGCCCCTGAGATTAACTCTAAACCTCCTACCTACCAATATAATGTCACAACTACAATATGTCAACTTAGGAACAGAATAAAACCTGTTTGCTAAACTGAAAAATTTGTACACGTGTGTCTGTATCTTTTAAATGGGCCTCTGTAACAGCGTTTCCTGCAGGAAAAAGGTCCCTACACCTTTTATAAAATGCAGTCACATGGAAATGGCATGGTGCTTTGGCTTTTCACATGTAGGAAACAGCACTGTATTTTTCAGAGCATGGGGTGGCATTAAGAAGTAGTATTGGGTAGTATTGGTGCTTGGCCACTTAGAGAGTCACATAGGGAGAAAGTCCTCTGTAATGGATAAGCTCTGTATAGTGACTTGAAGTTTATATAGTTTTTTTTTTTTTACTACTGTTGGCCAAACTGAGCAATTAGGCAGAAGAGGGAAAGCATGTAAAAGCAGCTGGTAGGGGATGCCATTAAAGTGAAACTGTTACTTTACCCTTCTTGAGCAAAGCCAGAATTAAATTAACGCTCACAAGGGGCAATGATGAATCCCGTTACATGCAAACCAAGTCTTTTGACTCCATGAATTTGCTGAATACGTTTATATGTTAATATGTTATAATATTAACATATAAACATATTAAACATATTAATAATATGTTTAAGTCATGCATTTCAAATGAAGAGAAAAAACAAAATTGGTCACTATAGTCCAGCCTTTTTCAACTAGGGTTCTGTGGAACTCTCGGACTCCTGCTGAGGATGCTAGTGGTACCTTGGGCAGTGAGCAGTGGCAAAATGATCTCCCACCTACACTAACCAACAAGAATAGGGGGTCAGTTTTATGCTGATACATGACACAGACTGGGTGTGCAAGGAGGTAAGCATCAAAAGCAGAACTTACAACATCCAGATTTAAAGTGGTTCTAAAGCAAAAGCAATTTTTACCCTAATGTATTCTCTAAATTAAGGTAAAAAATGTCCCAGTAGTTGTATAGCCCCCTTACCTTCTTATATATTTACCAAGCCCAACCTCAATCCAGTGCCGTTCCCCTCTGCAGCAGTGCTGATCTGTGTTCCTCTCTTCACAGGACACAGAATTCCTTATGATGAAGCCAAGTGACCAGTGGCGTAACTCGTAGGGGAGGGACTTTGACGTCACAACGCTTGATGGTTCCATACTGACAACAGCTGGCAACTTTAGGATTTTCACCACTGAAAAAAATCTGGAGGATACATTTTGGTGTACAAAGTGGTATATATACAGAGTATATGTGAGTGCATTACTTTTAATAAAATGATTCTTAAAAGGACAAAACACTATGATTTGATTACTCCTCTATATTAACTACAGTGGAAGGAGAGCCTATCGATTGAGTGGAGGAGGACCCCAAACAGCAAGTTACCATACCACCCACACCTTGGCCCATTTAAAGGGACACAAGCATTATATGACCTCACTTAACTGGTCATGTACTTGAGGTGAGAGCACAACCGGTGGGGGAGTACAACAATGAAAGTTCTTTTTCACACAAAAAATCAATTAAGAAGCACAGGATATTTCATTTAAAGTGTATTATGCACGTTTGAAGAAGTTTATATATGGACTTTATTTTGACATGTATATGGACATTTCTTTTGGAATTATTATTGATTGATTCATTAATTTATTTTATTTATTTTTCATTTTGATATGCAATATTAATAGTAGCACTTGGATGCATGTAATATTTAGTTGGAGTAATCCTGTACAATTGTAAATGGAATATCATTTATTTCTGGTATGCATATTTTACTTTTCAAACATACATATGAGTTCAACAAGAAAATACATAACTGAGTCATTTAAACTGACGCAATTTATTAAAGAAATTAATGTTTGTATTTTGTGTCTAATATATACTCTAAACAAATATAAAGCTTACAACTTTTGATATTACAGAATTTGCTCAAATACAGCACCTCATTGTCACTCCTGCACTGATTTCATGCCACATCCTTTATTCTTCTTTCCAGAAAAAGGCATTTTAGCATCTCTCTTGCAGATTATGAAGCAGAAAATGTAAGAAACAGATTATTTTGTTATTATCTTTCATTTCCTTCCCTGCTGTTACTAAAAGCAGTGCTTATTTTAAAAAAGATTTAGCACTGACTAAAATGTTCTAAAAGGAAAATATTTTAATATTTCACTTAAGAGTTTAGGTTTACAAAATAATAAAAAACATTTGATTATTTTTACATTACCATCTTTGTAATCTTAAAGTGTCCTGCATTCACTATATGCGGTCTCCCACAGTACGCAGAACATGGAAGTGCAATTATTTTAGTAATGATTAACTGCTAAATACCTTTTCCCATCAGATGTTAGAGTAGTCTTGTGACTTCTATCAGTGTCTAGCCCCGCACTAGCTAAAGCTTGTAGGAGGAGTTTTCTTTCTGCTCTAGGAGTATACAAATTCCCTGACTTCTGTCTGGACAGTGCTGATTGGCCCTGTGCTGATCACATGCACTCTCCCAAGAAAAAAAAAAACCCTTTTTAGCAATACACACCACACTGAGCATGTGCATGCCTACGGTTCAGTCTGGAGGTAAGTGGTGGTCGCATGAAAAAGGGGAGGAACAGAGAAGAAAGCCTTTTTACACAATGCAGAGGATTAACCCCTTAGGTTCCACAGTGATCATAACAAGCATGCTTTACTGCATATACAGGCTGATTTTACTGTTGTTGGTTTAGTAACGCTTTAATTCCTGTATTCATTCTTAAACTGTGTAAATGTGATCTACCAATCTTACCAATGCGGGACTCCCAGGGATAAGTTCTATGCCCCTACCCACGACAGATGACTAGAAGTAGGTTTAAAATGCATCTATGGTCAAATTTTTTAAATCATATGTTTATTTCCATGTCATATTTCAATTATTTCTAGCCTACTCCTATTAATCTGAACAATCTGAAAACTTACTTTTTAAAGTAACCCACATATTGACTTCCTTAAATTCTATGACACATAACCAATGTGTCCTGTGGATATGCACTACCGTGTCACACATTTCATAGAGCCTGCCCTCTGAACTTCAGAGGAATCTCTGCTTGCAGGCAGCAAGGTACCATGGAATATGTAGAATGTAAAAGTAAACTAAAGGAAGGATCGGAGGCTATTTGCAAAGCGTGTAAGGAATCCAGGAAGTTTTTAAAAGCTATGACCAGCAGACTGGCATCACTCATATTATGAAGTAGAATTTTTGCATTCCTCTGCATTTTTTTAAACGGGCTAATGCTATAATTTATGATTTTATATGGGCGTGAAAAAGACCCTGAATACATGGTCGGCTTCTCACTCTACCCAAACAGTATGGAGGGCTGACCGTCCTGGATCTACAAAAATATTACTAAGCAGCTCATCTTGGGCGGCTCCTTGTTTTTAACTTCGTTCTCTTGTTAACCAGGACATTTTCCTTTCTATCCAATTTTGGGGAACCCTAGATTTGAATCGGGCCTCATGCATGGTTCCTTTGGGATCCTTGTCAATTCACGCCGCTTACAAGTCTCTTATTTCTTAGTAAACAGCTCTTTGCCCTCCTTACATCTTCTTAGAGATCCAACGGGTCTCTATAAATTGGACTTTTGGAGGGTCCTCCAACTTCATCACTTTTTTAACTTACTTCCCCCCTCCAGCAGCTTCCAACACTCACAAACTATGTTAGAGGACTATTGCACTGACACGTGCACTTTCCCTCATGCATTTTCTAAACTGTATGTGCTACTGGTCTTGCCACCCTAAGACATTTGCCCTTCATACCTCTCAAAATGGGAGTCAGACCTGAGAAGAACTTTCACAGATGCCCAAAAAACCAACATGCCTCACTTCTCTCTAAAATTCTCTCTTTGCGTGAGAGCTCAGGAGAACAATTTCAAGATCCTAGCCCCAGAAGTGTACCCCTGTAGTGTTACACATGTTCTCCCGCACTTTGACAAATGCTGGAGATGTCAGGAAGAGAATGAAACACTCTTACATGTGTTTTGGTCCTGCCCTAGGCTTGCACACTACTGGAGAGAGGTTGTACAAAAATTTACAGATCATCCAGTTCTTGCAGACCCAGCATTCTTTCTTCTACATGTCACCAATATACCAGCAAAGATCTATAAACGGTCTATCTTACGCCATCTTTTAAATGCAGCCAAGTCTTGTATCTCTCCAAGATGGAGAGACTCACAGCCCCCTTCAGTCAGGTTCTGGCTACAAAAAAGTTGAGGAACTGAACCAACTGGAGGATCTAGTGCTATCGCATTAACATAAATACGAGACATATTCTAAAACTTGGACGCTATAGAATATGTTCATATATTCTGAGGAAGGGAAGCCTTTCCCCAAACTGAGCAACACGAATGGCTAATTGAGAGGGAATGTTTAACCCTCACATTGGACCATTATTCTCCTCCTATCATGTACCTAGATAGTGAGCCTGACATGAAGAGGAAGGCCTCTCGAACAGTTGTGACTCAGGGGCCACTGGTAGTGGAACAGTAACCACGAGAGCACTGCAAGGTATGAGTGCCTATGGTCAGTCTGATGGTCTGTGTGGGTAGTAGCTGACACTTCACTGCCAGGAAATTGAGCAGCTGACAGTAGGCAGATGTAACAATGGAACAGGCTGGTAGAAGACAGACTGGCATGGTACTTGGCTGATGACAGGCTGTGGACATGCAGCAGGAAGCAGAAGCCAGATGAGAACATGCTGGACTAAAGGAGCTGTAGCATGCTGGATAAGCAGGATGCAGGGTCAGACAAGTAATGGTAATGGACAGGCAGATCAGGCATAAGCAACAGGCAGGAGAATAGTCAGGTCAAAGGCCAATGTTAAAAACGATGGGGCAGATCAGGCAAGAGCAGCAGGCAGAGGCAGAATCCAGGGACAAGCTAAGGTCAGGGCAGGTAGCAGACAAGCATGGTCAGAAGCAGGGGCGGACTGACAACTCATGGGGCCCCCCGGGCAATAGGGGATCATGGGGCCCCTGTGTCCTTGCCCAAACTCAAAAAAAGCCTATGAAAAAGGTACCAGGGGCATCTCATGGGGCCCCCTACTGACCCCAGGCCCTCGGGCAGTTCCCGAGTTTCCAAATGGTCTGTCCGCCCCTGGTCAGAAGCAAGTTGGCTCAAGATCTGAGGTCAGACACAGGAATCAGGCATAAACACACATAGAAAGCTGTAGGCAAAACAGCAATGAGCCAGAGCTGCAGTTCTGTATAGTGCACCTATTTATACAGAACTGCAGCTCTGGCTCATTGCTGTTTTTGTCTACAGCGTTCTGTGTGTTTATGCCTGATTCCTGTGTCTGACTTCAGATCTTGAGCCAACTGGGTATGCGCTCGTATCTGCTCACATCTGTGCACATCTCTGTGCATATCTGCATAGCCAGTTGCCAGTCTGCGCATGGGCCTGGAAATTCTATTTGTACTATGGATGAGCCTTTCCTAACAATAACTATTGCTTGTATTGCTATTACAATGATGATGTTATAAAATGAAAGTGTATACTGAGGCTTAACTCAAGAACAAAAATTTGCTTACCTGTCATTAGGTATGGCTGCTGCATTGATTTGCTTTTTCTCCAGACTTTCTTCTTTCTTTTCAGCTGGTGCCAGTAATACACTTTGGCCCCTTTCACAAGGGCCATCCACCTGATTCAATAGTTGTCAGGCTTTTTCAAAGAAAAAATGAATTCAGTTTACGGGCTAATTCACACCAATGTGTTGATCTGCATTTTAGCACAGCTGTGATCAATGAAAGAACATCTGAAAAACAATAATTTCCAGTGTATTCTTTTCATGCCATAATGCTGCGTTGACCTGCGTTGCACTAAAATGCAACATGTATGCATTTTAACACAATGCAGGGGATGTATGCAGATATCAACACAATAAAAAAAGATATCTTGTGAAATAGCAGTATGCTTTAGCGCACTCTATAATGCATGTCAACAGATCTCAAAAATGTATGTCAACAGACATCAAAATGGATGTCAATGGATGTCAGCGCGCAACTAAAATGGATGGAAATGTACATCCATTTTCTATGCATTTAAGAGCAGGTCAGTATGAATTGCCCCTACATCAGTTTTTCATCAGTTTACATCATTTTTTTTTTATCAGTTTACTATCAGTTTTTACATCTACTAGCTAGTATGCTTAACCACTTGAGTCCCAGAGCCATTTTTTTCAATTTGTTTAATTTTTTTGGTTAGCATGATCAAAAATAATTTTGGGCCTGAATATTACTTAAAACCCCCAAACATATATTTTCTGAAAGCAGACATCCTTAAGAATAAATTTGCTCAAAATATTTTTTATGTGTCTCTTTAAATGTTTAATTTTTTTAGCACATGACTTTATAGCTATCACATAAAGTAAACAAAGGGTCAGGGTCACCCGGTTACCGTGCCCCTTTCTGAACTTCAGCGGCGGGGCCAAATGACAACTCCTTCTAATAGAAACAAAGGAACCACCGATTACATTCAGAGTTGACCATTGCATTTAGAGCCAACAAGTGAGGGAGCCTGTATGTACACACTGCCCCCTCACTGTAAACACTGCTCCTCTCCTGCCTCTCTTTTTTCAAACATTGTCCTCCCCTTTTGTTTACATTCTGTTGTCAGCAGGGAATCCCCACTGATAGCAGAGATGAGTCACTGGTTGTTACAACGCTTGTGGGTGCAGGCTTGTAACAACCAATGCAAATATGGATTGTTTGTCCATTTGTATCCGTTTAGTTCTGTTTTTTAAGCAGACCGAAAATAAAGCCATTTAAAAATAAAACAATAAAAAAAACGGATCTTAACAAATGTGGATGTTGACCATAGAAATGCATTAATGTCCGTTTTTCATCCATAAACAGATGGATACAAAAATGGACAAATGGTCTGCCTGTGTGAAAGAGGCCTTTCTTTTCTAGGGTGGCAACACTGACTCATCATGCTGCATATATGATGAAAATGTGTTGTCACCCCAGAACACCCACAGGAGTCCTGTTGTCCACAAAAAATGCTGGGATTCATGATGACTGATAAGAGCCAGCACAAGCAAAAAGCACAGTAAGTTATCAGCTACAATCTTGCCTCATTCTTATAGGCTGAGCAATCCTACATGTCATTCAACCCCAGGACACAGACATTGTGTGGGCAAAGGAAAGCTACTGTGGGGAACAAGTCTGGTTTTAATTTTGGTATTACAGACAGAGAATTTTCTTCTACTTCCTCCATCCTCACCCCCCCCCCCCCCCCCCCCCACAACACCCAACTTAGTTAACCACTCTAATAACCTAAACCTACCTAATGTTGAAAACTTATGTCATTGGTAGTGAGCCAGAGCATTGATGTTGCCCTTTTCCCTCACCCCATGGCATCTATCCAATACTATTTCAGTGCCTCATGCCTCTCCTATCTTCCCACAGAGCTCCTCAAAGAGCATATTCATACAGAAATGCTCTAAAGAATGGCGCTTGCATACAGCTACACACAAAACTTCCTTTCTCAACCATGTGTCAGGACTTGGACCTGGTGATTAGACATTTAGGCAGTGCATTATGAAAGGATGAAAGAGTCTACTGCTATTTTCTATACCCCCCCAAAAAATTGGAAATTTTGTAAGTGGATGAATATTTTTGGGCCACATTAGTATAGTAAAGCAGATACATCATGGTGCATGCTGACTACATTTATTTAATTGAATAAACCTGTCCCAAACCTGTGCAATTCAAATTAAGCCTCCAATGAAAGGAGACATAAGCACACATAGCTTTCAATAAAAACTGAATGTCAAAATAATAATAATAATGATATTAAAGGCATATATTTTTAAATACCAAACATGCCATACTTACCTGCTCTGTGCAATGGTTTTGCACAGAGCAGCCCTGTTCTCGGGTTTCTACTGGTACTCCTGGCCCTTCACACCTGCCTAGTGTTCCCATAGCAAGTAGCTTGCTATGGGGGCACCTGAGCAGGCTCGCTCCTGAGCCACTGCTTTGTCTGTCCTTTCAGACACAGAGTGCAGCTCAGCTCCACCCCCTGACTCCCAGGCTGTGGTTGACAGTAGTGGGCGCCAATGGGAGACCCTGGAGAGTAGCATCACTTGTGCATATCACTGGATCTGGATCAGTCTCAGATAAGTATAAGGGGAGCTGGGGGACTGCTGCACACAGAAGGTTTTTTTACCTTCATGCATAAAATGCAGCTATTACATATAGGAATTGGTAAGCTGCAATATAATAAATGTTTGCTTTTGGGTTTATTACCACTTTAATTATATTTTTAACTGTTTAGATATAAGTTAAAGCTCTACAAGAGTACATTACATCTTCATAACCGGAATATATTCTTTTTCGAAAGCTTTAGTTATTTTCCCATAGACTACAATTTTTCCCCTAGAATATCGCTTATTTTTTCAAATCTAAACAGACAATTTTTACAACGTATTTTGTTTCTAATCAATATGTACATTGAAGACCAGAATGTTAGATAATCTTGACAGTGGATATGTGTAGCAGCTGTATTTTGGTTGGTATTATTGTTAACACTATTATTGATCTATGTGGTTTGCCACAAGAGCACAGCAAAATCATCAACTTTGAATATTTTTTTATGTTGTATTATTTTTTTTTATTGAATCTTCACTGCTGGTAAACACATATTTATTTTAATTGTTACATTATTTATAGGGTTTAATTGTGATGTTTTTACCAAGATTGTTTTCTATACCTGAGTAATCCACTATTCTAAAAAAACTAACCTTTTTTTTTTATATTGGAAGATGTGTATATTACAGTGACAATAAATGTAGACTATGGAGCATTGCTTATATAATGAGTATTGAAATACAATTAACATGTTATGGTTGTACTGCAAAGTATACATTAGCATTTTTTTTAAATATTTTAAAATATTGTGAAGTCTACCATAGAAAATTGCTTTAGCATAATGGTCTTAGAAAAAAGGGAAGTAACATAGTTTGGGTTTTCTGACTTGGGCACACAATAGATTTAAGAATATACTATATATTTAGATTTTTCCCTGGGGACCAAAGTACCAAGAAACTAGCTTGATTCAAATTATTGAACTGTACAGAAATAAACTTATACATTATACATAAATAGTTTCCAAATTAAATTGCCTGCCTTTTTCCAAAACATGAGCTTTTGGAGCCTGGATTTTTTTATGTTCATGAACTAAGTACATCTGTTGAGGTTTAATTGTCTTGTTTATTTGTATATTACTAGTTTAAATGAATCATTAACATTGTAATCAGCGTAATTACAGTGACATTGCTTTCTGAAGTGTTTATTTTACGTGATATTTCTGATTTGTTGGAATGTGTATGATATACGTTTATTTTTATAATATACAAAGTGGCATTATTTAGATATACAACTGTGTAAAAAGTTTTATGTGCCCTATTTTAGAGGAGCTACACTATATGTGTGAAGTCCTATATGTTACAGCTTATAGAGAAGAAATTCTGTAATTTTACTATTTATTGCAGATACTGTAAGGTAGGCAATCTACCAAATTTATTTCATATGCCTCTTGCCAAAGAAAAAAAAACAAGCTGCCAATTTTAAACTTCTTTTCTGATTTACTTATTGAGCAGTTATACCCATATTCATGCTACATTTTACTGTTGATGTAATTGCACAATACACAACTCTGATGAAAATCAGGAGCATACAGTATATATGGGAGACAGCTGAATATGCTAGTAAAATGTTCATTATTTGTATGTGTAAATCAGTTGGCTTTGTTAATATGTAAACAGCTACAAAAACTAGAAAAGTGCAGTCATCCAATCAAAATCAAACCAACCAGATTTTACTGTATTGTAGTGAGATAAGTGATTGGAAATTCTGATTCTTGCAATGAATTATAGCACTTTTCATGTTTCACTTTGCATTACCCATCATAAAGGAAACATAGAGACTACCATTGTTGACCACTTCTTGTGAAAATGCTAGCTGTCTGGATGAAACCCCTTGTTTCCATACTTTGACTCACTGACTTCGAAAAAGTAGACAATGAAGGATTTTGAATGATTTGAATTCTAGCTTCAGGCCAATAACTCTGAAGAGGTCAAAGCTAGTGATCTAGCACAAACGTG